TTTGGTTTTGTGAAGGCAGAAACAGGGACAGTAATAAGATTTTTAAAAACTAGCTGGAATTAACTTTAGGATTTTTTCATTTCCTGAGACAGAAGATAGTCATTTTCTTCTCAGAGGTTTTGAGGCTTTGCATACTTTGGCATTTCTTAATTAAACTGACATTATGATACTTGTAGTTGCAGTTGCATCAGGAAATGTTAATCATTTTAAACATGTTTCCAAACTTTCAGGTCAAATTTCACACAACTGTGGAACATCACCATGATATTTTGGGGTTAGGTGGTAAGAATTAGCCACTTAATTGAAGGCAAAGTAAACATTTTGGACAACATATTGACTTAAGAATTAAGGCATATCACAAATTTTGAGGGATATGATTCAGGGATAAAGAGAAATGTGTAATATCTTCCTAAAAGGGGTGTCAGTGTCTCTGTACTTGTAGGATCCATATAATGGTCTCCCTATCTCCATGGTTTTAAAAATGTAACTTTAATGTTTATATAAAATTGTTCAAAATCAGCAGTTTGTCCTTTGAGTTTTGGTTTTGTAAAGATGCAAATAAGGACAATGGCAAGATTTTTTAAAAAACCAAAAGACAGCTAGCTGGAAATCCTTACAGAATTTTTTTTTCTGAAACAAGATAGTCATTTTCTTCTCAGAGGTTTTGTCTTCGATTTCAGCCACATCTTCCCGGCCTCACCTTTTCCTGTTCCTCTGTTTACCTGCCTTTAGGACATCTTTTTGCATTGCTTATAGACACAGAACCTCTGACCTGCTTACTGACCTAATTTCTGCCTCTGCACCCCTTGCCAAGGACATGCTTGTCAACCCCTGGCTCCAGTAATTAGCTCAGTTAGCTCCAGTACTGGGGTTCCTGGACCAGCATCCACCCACATACCCCTGCAGAGAAATGTGCTTCTTTGCCCTCCTGAGCATAGAATGTGTCACACTCTACTACTCCCACCACTGCCTGAAGCTAAAACAAATTAAGAATGTGCAGTAGGAACCAACCTGGAGTCATTGTAGATGATGTTTTAAAAAGCTTCACTTTTAACTTCCCAAAGGGAATTTTTACTTCCTGAAAGTAAATATAGCACCCTTTTATGTGTGGTCACTGCACTGGCCAGAATTTGCAGTGAGTGTCAGTCAAACCCAGGTACTTGATGGTTTTGGTTTGTGTTATGTTTTCTTCTGTTTGGAGCATATTTGTGTGTACAGCCGTAGGTCAGTGGAGATAACGTGAGATGCATTTCATCACACATCCTGTTCTGTTCTGGATGTGAGAGTTAAGCCTTATAGCCCCTTTCACCCCCAGACCCTCTTGGGTACTGGCCCTCTCTCCTCCTTCTAGATCTTTCCACGTACCCTCTTCCTTTGCCTAGAACACTTTTTTCACCTTTTCTCCAGCTAGCTAACTTTTTCTCCTTCTTTGGGTCACAGTGTTAATAAGCATTTTCTTGTGATAACATTCCTTGACTGCCCATGACCAAGTGAGGAGATCCCCTCTATATTCGCTCATACTGCCCTGCCCTGTTCTGAAACCTGGCATGGTACCATGATGGTGGTAGTTATCTTCTCCATTGTTAGACCCTGAGCCTCTGGAGGATGGGCACTGTCTTGTTTGTCGTTGTATCCTTAGTATCTAAAACAGTGGCTGTCAGAACAAAAGTAAATCTATAGCATAATAAATTAAGCAAGGACTAGTATTATCAAACACTCAATATGTGCTGTGCTCTGTGCTTGGGATCTTTTCAGTAAGTCCTCACAGCATTAGAAACAGATACTATAATGAATTTTACAGAGGAGAAAGGTGAGACTGATAGAAGTAAAGTAATTTGTCCAACAAAACATAGGAAGGCGGAGCTGATATTTGACACCAGAGTCCCTGCTCTTTTTTTTTTTTTTTTTTTGGTGGCAGGGTCATCCAGGATGGAGTGCAGTAGCACCATCATTTTTACCACATGCTCGGCTTGCTAGGGTTCAGGCGATCCTTCCGCCTCTGCCTCATCAGGAACAGGGACTACAGGCATATACCACCATGCCCAGATACTTTTTAGATTTTTTTGTAGAGACATGGTCTCTTTATGTCTACAACTCCTGGATTCAAGTAATCCTCCTGCCTTGGCCTCCCAAATTGTTGGATTACAGGCATGAGCCACCGTGCTGGACTCAGAGTTCCTGCTCTCAATGACTATATTACATACAGTGATAGACAAATAAAAGATATCTGTGAAGGCATCAAGCAAGAATTCCATAAGGAGTCAGCAGCCTCTTGAATGACCCATGCAGTTGGCATTGATTGGGCAAAAATGGTGTTCAAGGGAGTCAACTTTTTCTAGCCATATAGGAAAGGTCAGCCCCAGATGCCACATTTCAATTACTAGTAATTTGTTTTCTCTAAAAGGTTTAGAGTTTACTGCAGCTCATATGGTATTGTAACTAGAACTCTGGTTTTAGAATTAGGGATATGAGACTTAGGATCACCTCTCTTTTTCTTGTTGATGTTGGTAGGTTGAGAGTGGTCATTACGAGCCCACTTTTTCTATGCTCAAGAGAGACACTAGGTTGTTGAGGGGGTTAAAGGGAGTGTGTGTAAAGTTGACTTCCCAACTTAATGGCTATTACCTATTACTCTTAGAATGTTTTCTCTGCCATATTATTTTCTATCATGGAACACCTACTGGCATTTAATAAAAGAAGATTATGTGCAGAGTGATTTCTGGGAAGTTCTGCTGTTGATTAAGATTTCAGAAAATTGATTCTTCTACCCATATGTTAGCAGGAAAACTCCTCTTTATGGTATCATAATATGACAACTAATGTCATTTATTGGATTAAATGTCCACAGTATTTAATTCAGAAAAAGAAAACACTTAGATTGTTTTTGTACTGCCCACCTCCTGACAGTATTATGGTAAGATCTCATTTTTCTGTTTGATCTCTTTAAGAGTATTGAACAACTCAGAGAAAGTTTCTGAAGCTAGTTATATCCAAGGCCTGCTGTGTGCAGGGCAGAGAGCTTACTTTCCATTTTGTAGAGACAGACTGTAAACAAGTAAGCATAGAAAATAAGAGGATTTTTGCTTGCGATAAAGGTTAAGGGGAAAATAAATGCGTGATGTGGGAAGAATAATTGTCATTGGGATAGTGGAAAGGCTTGTGGATTTGGACAAGGTGGCAGGTGAAGTCTGAGCATAAGAAGGAGACAGGACTGAAGGTCTGGGGAAGAAAGAACAGCCAATGCAAGGTCCTGGAAAGGGGAAACTGCTGGGCATGTTTTTGGGGTAGCTACCATGCCCAGTACATAGGGCACTGTAGAGAATATTTTTTTTTTTTTTTTTTAAATACAGGTTTAGAATTAACCAAATTAATGGTGCAAAGAATTAAACGCATTAACACGGATAGGCATGAATGAGAGGAGAGGCAGGGGCTAGATCCTAGGGCTGAGGTGTAGAGCTCACCTACCTGTAGGGCCACACCTGTACCTTGACTTAGTAGAGACAGTGTGTCCTTACTTTTGTTGTTCAATTTTTAATAGAGACATAGGTGTGGAGAACCAGTTCTCTAAGAAAAACAGCCAACACCATGATAAATGGCAAGTGAGCAGGACAAATGTGATGATGATGGTGGGTGGCTTTTGATCTCAGAGCTCAGAGACACAGTAGGGACTGGGAGCAGCCCAGAGGCTGCTGGCCCTGACTCAAGGGGACAGCTGTTCCTTGGTGCCAGCCAAGTGTTACCATGTGGGAATGTGGGCTCCATGTACTAACTCTGCCAAGTTTTCTAGAGAACCAGAAATCTGAATTTTTATGTGAAATTTTCAGATTTAAAAATGTTGGCCCAAGCTTTAAAAAAAAAATCTTACAATGAATAGATGAATTGCATCTGTGGGTTGCCAGTCTGAAACATCTGCTGAAAGCCCTTTTATGCCATAATAAAGGGAGTTCAATGAATAGAATGCATGTGAACCATTTATCTTTGTGCCCAGTACATAGGCAATACTGAGGAGAAAAAAAGGTTCTCATTATTCATTGCACTATTCATCTGTTTAGTTGTCTTCACCATTAATTTATTTAGTTAACTTTAACTCCATATTAAAGATAAATAATATCCTACTCTAATTCAAGTGATTAAGTTAATGAATGGTAGTTGCTGTAATTTGTTTATTGAGTTGGGTTCTCTATTAGTTTGGCTAATTCTATATTCATGCTACAAAAGTAAACATTAATCTAGTGTAATTCACATGATAAAGAGAACAAAGGACAACACATTTTGGATTCCAATTCTTTTCTTACTTCCTGTCCACTTCTATTGTGCAGCAATGATTGCCTTCCTCACTTGTTCTTATGTTTTGGCTCATTTGGGTGTCAAGGCCTCCTTCCTGACTGGTGTCAGCTGCATGTGCAAGTGAGAAGGAACTGTGGCAAAAATGCCATTTTGGACCAGGCAAAGGATGAATGCAGTTTTATGACATGATGTCGTGTTTAGAGGCTTTTCATCTGTTTTAATGAAATACAAATGTGCCCAGAACAAGTTATTTTTTTCCCCAAGGGGAGGGCTCTTCATTTAGTATGGCCTAACTCATGCAGTTTTGTATTACGAGATCGTGTTTGGTATGTTGCAATCCCTTGGCGATTATCTCGGGGAATTTTATTCAGTGCTAGCATCTCTGACGGTTCTGGCATCAGGTTGGGTTAATTACTTGTTCATGTACTTTTTGGTCTTGTCTCTATGTTAAAATTCTGGAGCATCACGGAGAGGAACATTGGGAGTAACAAAATATACTTGAATATTTCTAATAGATTAAAGGCTTATAAAAACATCTCTCTTTTTTTCCCCTCAAGGTTTTTTTGTTGTTGTTGCATTGTTTTAAAATGAGATCATTTTATATTAACATGAAGCTAGAAACTTGAAAATAAACTTTTTGTGTGTGTGAAAAATCTTATCTGTAAATAAAGCTCTTAATTGAGTCAATAATTCTCTTTTAATTTTTGGTACAGATCATGGAGGAAACAAATACACAGATTGCTTGGCCATCAAAACTGAAGATTGGAGCCAAATCCAAGAAAGGTAAATTGTGAAAGAGAGAAAAATTGGTGGTTTTGATAACTGAGGGCTAGGGAATTACTGCAAGTTTGCTGGAAAGAAAACCAGCCTTTATTCTTATCATCTTTGTCCCCAAATATTTGCTAAATAGCAATCTTTCAAGAGGATTATCATAACTAAAAACAATATACAGTTTTTATCTAGCAACAGAAAAATGTTAAATATTAATATTACATTGGGAATTTTATAAAAGATATAGCAACCTGTGGTTTTAAGAATGCCTCTTCAGTTGATGTTCATGAGCCATAGTAACTCTTTACATATGATAATATACTGTCAGCACACACATAATCTTTGTTTATACTTTAGAGCTCTTTTTTTATGTACCACACAAAATTAATACCTACTTTTTCTCCCTTTAATGTGATATGAACCTTAGATTTCCTTTCTAGAGCACTTCTTCTCTTTATCTGTCAAAAGCAAAGAACCCCCTAGATTTCTTTTTAGGCTATTTCCTTTGCCTGACCTTTTCTCTGTCTGACACTATGGGATATTATCCAATGCTTAGATGTTTGGAGATGGAAGTATAGGCCCCCTTAGTCTTTTTCCAAGATTATGTAGTATTTTCAAATGTGATCTACCAATATATATTTTTATGGATAGTTTTTCTTTTTAAAGTATGACCTTAATCAAAAATCAAACTTTGCACTGTATATTTCATTAAGAGTACAGTTGCATGTAGTCATCAGAAGATAATGACAAATACTGTCAAACAACTCAAGATACTTGCAAACTGAGCATTATCCACTATGGTCTGGCTGTTTTGTTGTTTTGCAGTATAGTTTTCGATTTGCTGCCCCTTCTCCCTGTGACTTATTGCTAGATGATAATGCAAGATTTCTCAATTTCCTTTCTTATTTCAGCCCAAATTGCCTTCTTTTAATCTCGCTCTGTTAAATTACTCATCACATGGAATATAAATTATTTTAGTTATTTTTGGAAGTATTGTTAGTTGGACTTCATTTGACTGGAATTCCTGCAGAAACTTACATCTTGTTACCTTTTTGTTTGCGATTTTGGGTGGCACAGAATTAGGAACTTATATGCTAAACAATTGTAAGAGGATATGGTGAATTTCCAAGTGTCATTCTGTATCTTTGTGTAGCTCTTGAACTTGTCAAGTGCTATAGAATATATTCTTAATTAGTCATCAGTAATCTTTGTGGTATATTAGGGTATTTTGTACTCCTTATGCATAAGAAGAAACTACCATTTTCAAGCTATTTATAGTATTTACAAATCCCTAGTCTACTACTTGGGTAAATTGGAACTTGAACATATACTGAATTCTTTTTCCCCATTGCCAGGTATTTTTACTTAAAGAATGAAATAAACTTTATTACTATATCCTAATAAAAATGTAATTTAGTCAGTTCTCAAAGAAAATTCCCAAGGAAACATGAACATTAAAATAATTCCAGGGAGAGACAGGAACAAGATGGCGACGGCATAGGTGAACTGGTGAGATTCTCTGAACATGAGTTCCCAAAAAGGCTATTACTTCTTTTCTCCCATCCCCCAGCCCACCACCAGCCATGCTGGTGCCAGGCCCGGGGACCTTCGGTCCTACGCAGGGCCAGATATTGCGGCCCCCTGCTGCTGCTGTTCCACTGCGTGTGTGGGAGTCTTGGGTCCCAGCCCCCTCCAGCTCCCTCCCCGGCTGCATCATCTCCAGCCCAGCACCCGGCACCAAGCCACCGGTCACACAGGGAGGCTCTGGGCGCCCGCCCCTCAGAGACACCGGTCCCATTCCTGGCTAAAGTACCCTGTGGGGGGCCCAGGGCCACTCTCGCTTTGGAGCTCTGGAACTCCGGACCCACCCTGGCTGAGGCACTCAGCGTGAGACCCCAAGCTGGGGGACCCAGACAAGTGGAGAAAAACAGATCTGCTTAAACTACCATGCCATTCTCCAGACAGAGACTTCCATTGCCCCGCCCACCTATCAACAAACTTTACCTCATTTCCTAAGGCCAGATAGTGCGACCCCCCGCTGCTGCTGTTCCACTGCATGCATGGGAGTCTCAGGTCCCAGCCCCCTCCAGCTCCCTCCCTGGCTGCATCATCTCCGGCACCAAGCCGCCGGTCACTCAGGGAGGCTCTAGGTGCCCGCCCCTCAGAGACACCGGTCCCATTCCTGACTGAAGTACCCTGTGGGGGGCACAGAGCCACTCTCGCCACCCACCGCCTGCCCTTTGGAGCTTTGGAGCTCTGGAACTCCAGGCCCACCCTGGCTGAGGCACTCAGCACAAGACCCCAAGCTGGGGGACCCAGACAAGCAGAGAAAAACAGATCTGCTTAAACTGCCTCACCATTCTCCAGGCAGAGACTTCCATTGCCCCACTCACATATCAACAAAACTTACCTCAGTTCCTAAGGCGACAGCGAGAAACAGGAGACAAAGCCCCACCCCTATGCTGCAACGAAAAACAAAAGGTAGAGGCAGGAATCGGAGATCAGAGAAGTGACTTTAGTCTGATCACTTATTTTGACTTATGGTTTTATCATTTAACTGTTGGTTTTGATCACGTTTGTTGTTTGCTTTCTGACTTACACTGTTTCTTGATTTTATTGGCCTGTCTCTGTGTAGCTATCAGTACTCTTTAGGGAATTTTTCTTACGTGTCTTTCTTCACTTCTTCCCGGCCTTGTGTCTCTTTCTCACCTGATAGTT